TGACTGCATGCAAGGCAAACGCCCTACCCGCTGTGCTATCGCTCCAGCCCCGCATATAAGGAATATTTTGATTATCAGTGAGCCAGTTATTTTATTTTTGTGTCTCAAAATCTCAGTGACTCAAAATCTCAGTGACTCTCTACTTCATGGAGAATCAAATGAGAACTCTTTACTCCGCTATCCAGGTTCTTAATTTTATTTCAATTTATCCTTGCTTATCATATTCATTTTATCCTTGCTCACATGCCTGAACTCCAGGGAGCAGAACTGTTTGCTGGCCTCCAAATAAGTATTTTGTGCTTTTCTTCTTTGCTCTTGTATTTTCTTCTTACAAGGTGGACCCCGCTCACTGGTGGAAAGGGTGGTCTGTTTCAAAAGTGGTCACCTTTATAGATCTACAGAGATCCCTCCCTTCTTTCTCTGCTTCCAATTACCTTCTCACCCCTTTTCCGGCCTCTCCTCCCCCACTTTGTAACACTTTTTTGGTTTTGCTTTTGAGCCATACCCAACAGTGCTCAGGACTTATTTCTCATTCTTTGCGTAGGGATCAGTCCTGGAGGTGCTCAGCGGACCCTACATGGTGCTGGGGATTGATGCAGGTTTGGCTGCATATAAGGCAAGAGCCTTAACCTCTGTACTGTCTGTCTCTTGGCTCCACTTTGTAACTTTTAAGGAATTACTTTTTTTTTTTTGATTTGGTCTTGGGTCATGCCCAGTGATGCTCAGGACTCACTCTTGGCTCTGTGCTTATGGTGGGGCTCGGGGGACCATATGAGATGCTGGGGAGTGCACCCAGGTTGGCCGCATGCAAGGCAAACACCCCATCTGCTATACTTCTGCTCCAGCCTTGGGCTGTTTATTTTCCCTTACATTGTGGTCATTGTGTGTTAGTGTGTCTCTACTAAGTTTATAGATTTGTTTAGTATAGAAAATGTACTATTTTAAGATATCCTGTTTTATCTTAAACATCCCAAGTATTTGATTCATATTTATCAAGGTAAATTCAAATGAAGGAAGGAAAATATTTATTCTAGAAGCAGAAGGTTATTCATCTGCTGTTACTGTTTTCAGAATGAAAATAAAAGGCGTATGGTACTTTTAATTTATAGTATGTTATGTTTTGGCTAATACTATTTATGTGAATTATTGAAAACAAGTAGTAATAATAATCATACCAAGTATTAGAAAGTAAAATATTACTTGTTGGGGCTGGAGTGATAGCACAGCGGGTAGGGCGTTTGCCTTGCAAACGGCTGACCCGGGTTCGATACCCAGCATCCCCCTGAACATCGCCAGGAGTAATTCCTGAGTGCAGAGCCAGGAGTAACGCCTGTGCATTGCCGGGTGTGACCCAAAAAGCAAAAGAAAAAAAATATTACTTGTTATTCTACAACCCCAAGAAACATTTTTTTTTGTTTGTTTTTTGGGTCACACCTGGCGATGCTCAGGGGTTATTCCTGGCTCATGCACTCAGGAATTACTCCTGGCGGTGCTCGGGGGACCATATGGGATGCTGGGAATCGAACCAGGGTCGGCCATGTTGGCTGTGTACAAGGCAAACGCCCTACCCGCTATGCTATCACTCCAGCCCCCCCAAGAAACATTTTGGTCAACACCTGTCTAAACTTCTTTTTGAAGCACGTACATATACACACACATACTATTTTTTTAAAAAAATTTTCAAAGGCCCTCCCATTGATCATTGATTTGCTCCAGTGGGCCCAGTAACGTCTCCATTGGAGACTTTGTTGTTACTGTGTCTGGCATATCGAATACTCTCGGTAGCTTGCCGGGCTCTCCGAGAGGGGCGGAGGAATCGAACTCGGGTCGGCCATGTTGGCTGCGTGCAAGGCAAATGCCCTACCGCTGTGCTATCGCTCCAGCCCACATATATGTATTACTTATTTTGTTTTTTAGAAAATGTAAGTCACTGTGCATACTACTTCATTTTAACTTCTTTTATGGGGGAGTGGGCACACCCAGTAGTGCTCAGTGCTGATTCCTGGCTTTGCACTCAGGTCACTTCATTGGGGTTTGACTGACCACATGGGGTGCAGGAATCGAACCTGGATTGGCCAGATGCAAGACAGGCTCCCTACTTGCTGTACTATCTCTCTCGCCCCCTCATATCTTTTAAAATAAATTATATTGTATTATCTTTCTCTATCAATAAGTAATTCCTGCATCATTATTTAGTGGTCTCAATATTCTTTTGCTTTTTTTTTTGGGTTACACCCAGTGATGCACAGGGGTTACTCCTATTTCATGCACTTAGGTATTACTCCAGGCGGTGCTTGGGGGACCATATGGGTTACTGGGAATCAAACCCGGGTTGACTGCATGCATGCAAGGCAAATGCCCTATCCACTGTACTATCACTCAAGCCCAGTCTCAATATTCTTGATTGTAGAATTAATTTTTAAATAAATAAATAAATCTTTTGTTTTGCATTATTAAACCATTACTATGATGAAATACACTTGTCTCACAAATTCCTTAGAATATATTACTAGAGGTAAATGACCAGGTGAAAGGGTCCTTTTAGGACCTTTGATACTGGTGTACTGGTTTTGCCAATAGATTTCCAAAAGTCCACCAAGACTACCCAGAAGCACTAAACTACTTTGTACCCTTGCAATTAATGTTTCCTTGAAATATCTGGATATTAGCATGCTTTTGAAGTTTAAAGGCACATTAATTTACATATCACCTCAGGAATTTCATGGTGTATATGTTATGCCATTTTATTAATCCATAGTGTTATATATAAGCTTATTGTTAGCCTGGACTAAGAGTGGGAAGTAAATATTTTTCTATCTTATGTTTCTCAGCTTTCCAAAAGTAGAAAACTAGAGGCCAGAGAGGTTTCCATTTAAATAATTACTTATTTAAAATTACGTGAATTTACTTTTTAATGAGTAAAAGGAATGTGATGTACAACTAATTCACTTTTATTAAACGATTACTAGTATTTAAATTGATAAGGAATATTTTAAGTATTTACTATTTGTTTTTTAATGGACAGCTTTATTCTACTGGTGCATCATAATCTATGAGATAGATGGCATGTTCTTTATTCCAGATGAGGAAACTGAGACTCAGAAAGAGAAAGAAACTAATGCATTGTCAGTGGTGAGAGCTAGAATTTGAACATTTTTAATATAGTACTTTATTATTCCCAAAGAACTACATAAGTAGAAATTGTCATTGTTGATCCCCATTTGAGCCTGTTGATGTCAGATTTTTCTTTTTCACCAAGTTGAGCAAAGAATGTAGCATTGTAGCACTGTCCTCCCGTTGTTCATTGATTTGCTCCAGCAGGCACTAGTAATGTCTCCATTGTGAGACATGTCGTTACTGTTTTTGGCATATTGAATATGCCACAGGGAGCTTGCCAGGCTCTGCCCTGTGGGCGGGATACTCTCATTGAGCAGAGAATATCTTTTAAAAATTGATAATGGGTTAATGCTGTTCTCCACTTAGTGTCCATTGTACTTTTTACAGCTGGGTCCTTTAAGATTGATGCCCCATAAAATCCAAAGGTTTCTATGTTAATTGTAATCCTTCAGGTCTTAAAAGCTGACTCTCAGGAAGCATACCTTATTGTGTCTATGTGCCTATCAGCATACATTAGAGAATAGCAGCGCCTAAGGAGTCGGGGGGTGGGTACTCTGGGCTATAAGATGCTTTACATACTTATGTCTGACATACAAATTGACTGTCTCAATTTGACAGTCATTTAATTATTGCATAATTGACATTCATTAGGTTATTAGATATTGACCTCTTGCTCTCACAGAGTTTATTACCTGAGACAGAAGATATATATCCCCCACCCCCACAAAAGTTATAACTTGGTATAACAAAAATTATAACTTGGTATAAATAATTGCTAACCATAAAAGGAAAACTCACATTCAGTCTTGAGGCAGATCTTCACTACATGTTATATCTGAAACGCACCTGGAAAGGAAATTTGAAGCATAAGTTAAAAAAAAAAACTCAGAGACTCAAATATGTATCAACTACATGGAAAAAACTGGCTAAGGATATTTGAAAGCCCTTGCCAAAAAAAGTGGCATTAAAGATGACTCTGAAAGTGCAGTGAGTGTTTCATAGGTGGGGAATGTGGAAGGGGAATTTGAGTCAAAGGGATGAGCCTGTCCAAAGAATCAGTGCTCAGGAGACAGTGATGACCAGAAGTAGTTGGCTTGTACTAGAGCGCAGAGTTCTAGTACAGTTCTATGTGAGAACTGATGGCAGAAGCACTGTGAAAGAAGATTGGGTCCAGTTACTGAAGATTATTGCCTCATGCTGAGTATTTCCATTTGTACCCTGAAGTCATGAGCGCTTAAGCAGGAGAGTGATAGGATTTTCTCTATGTACTTGGTAGTATGGGTGGGATGGGTGGGCAGACAGGTGGGGAAAAGCGAGGCCATTATATAGATTTGTACAGTAGTGCAGCCAGAAGACCATGAGAATCGAAGGAGAGGTAATGGCGGTGAGTACAGATGGGACGAGAGATTTTGAGAGTAGCATGGAAACAATTTGGAGACAGGCAATCTCGAATTAAGTTCTAGTTTTATGTACTTATTAGCTCTTCAGTTCTCTACAAATGAGCCCTGGTGAGATGCAGTTGGCAGCTGTAAGAGAGTTGATGAAAGGGTATATGAAATACAATGTGTAGAAGAGTTAGGGTAATCAAAGCTTGTCCATGGTTTCAGGATGGCTCTGAAGGAAGGGATAGAGCCCCGCATGGCACTCAGGTTTCTAGCTGGGTTGATAAGTGTGGCTTGGAGAAGAGAAATGAGTTGATTTGGAAAATGTAGAGAATCGGAGATCAGTAGGGGGTGTCTAGGGTGGGATCTCCAGCAGGGAGCTGGAAGAAACATAGATAAGAACCAGAGAAGTGGTGTGTTAACAGATCTGCAGCGGTGGCCAGGGAGGCGACTCCATGGGAACCCCAAATGGACGCTATTGTCTCGCTTGTCTCCTGCCAGTGTCCTGCGCGTCTCTCAGATTCAGAGAACGAAGAACCTTCCCGAGGCAAGATGACACAGACACATCGCTCTGCGTTTGTTTCCAAGAACAGCTCCTACTCCTTAGCTTTCCTGGCAGGGTAAGAGACCAATACGCCATTCAGTCAGGATTCTTTCATTTGGGGTGTGAGACCAAAGGGACTGGGGTGCGAGAGTACTTGTTTCAGCTACTTTGGGGAGTGGCAGTGGGGGAAAGTGGTGCTAATGGGCTTTCAAATATGGATTACAGAGACAGGGATGATTTGAATGATTATTTTTTAATTTAATTGGGGGGAGCGGGGAGTTTGGGGTCCTACCCAGCTGTGCTTGGTGGTTACTCCTGGCAGTGTTTCTAGGAGGACCATGTGATACTAGTGATAAAACCTCGGACTCCCCCATGCAGAGTCTGCCCTTCCGCACTCTGAGCCCTGCCTGCATTCTTTTCTTGCGGGGGAAGAGTGTTGGAGCTACCCCAGGCAGAGCTCAGGGGCAACACCTGGCTTTGTGTTCAGGATTGACCTCTCAGGATGCTCAAATGCAGTGCCAGGGTGAAGACTATGACAGCCACAGGCAAGACAAGTGTCTTCGCTCCTGGACTGTGTGTCTGGATGATCCCAACCCCCATTCCTTAAAGAAAAGTAAAGGTTTAGAAAATGAAACAGAAAAGAAAAAGCCCCTGAGGGCCAGAGCAATAGTACAGTGGGTAGAGTGCTTACCTCTCATGCTTCGAACCCAGCATCCTATATGGGCCCCCTAACATCGCCTGGAGTACTTCCTGAGTACAGAACCAGGAGTAACCCTGGAGCAGCACCAGGTGTGACCCAAAAACAAAACAAAGCAAAAAATACAAAAAATAAAAACATGAAAATCCAAATATGAGACCTGAAATGAATCGCCCCAATTAATTAGAGTAGATATTTAGTAGGTGAATTACTTATGAGAAACTCTAATCTCCACCCTTATTGTTCATTCTTTCAAAGGGGACAGCATTCATTAGTATATTAAGCTCATTATTCTCATTTAGAAATGGCTAGCAAGAAACTTAGAAAATCCTTCTTTCAGAGCAAAAGAGAAAAGCCTTTATGGAAGAGAGTGCATTTGATTGTGTGTAGCTCTGTAATATTTGTTGTAAGATATCGTCTTTTTCTGCTCCTCAGCTCACTTCTTTTTTTGTTTCGTTTTGTTTTGTTTTGTTTTCTTTTGGGCCACACCCAGCGATGCCCAGGGCTTACTCCTGGCTTTGCCACTCAGGACTTAGCCCTGGTGGTGGCCCAGGGACCATATGGGATGCTGGGGGTTGGACCCAGTTGGCTGCATGCAGAGCAAGCACCCTAACCGCTATACTATTGATTCAGTCCCTCCTCTATTCAGTTTTGCCTTATCCTTTATCATTGAGCCACAATGAGACTGATTTATTGGAAAATAGTAATACTTTACTGTTAAGACATGTTTGTGATCAGCATTACACTTTTCTAGACTTCAGTATTCTTTTCTTCCAGCATCCAATGGTGGTCTGGGTTTTAGTTATTAGTAGAGTTATTGAAGCAATTGTATTTACTTGCTGGGTTATTTTTATAGGAAATTGTTAATGTCATGGAAACCTTAGTTTGGGAAATCTGGTATGTACTGTTGTATATTGCATCCCTTAATCTCCTTTTTGCTTAGTTTAGCATATATTGTTTTTCTTCTTGCAGCCGATTCCCTGTCACCTTTGAACCAGTCAGGCCTGGACAGGTTAGACCATTACCTTCACCTATGTCCCATGGAGTCAGTCACAAAGAATGAGACAAACACAATGACTTGTCCAAACAGCAGGGGTTGCCTGAACAGTCCCCTGCCAGATCTGTCTGACCTTTTCATTGAGCCGGGTGTTGCCTTCTCCTGGTCCTCATCATGAGGGCCATCCTTTACCATAACTCAGGAACAAGGCTGGGTGGGATATTTGCCTGGCTGTGGCCACTGGGTAAGGAACAATCAGCAGATCCCTTATTCTACAGCTGTGCCCTAGCAAGACGGTTCCTGCTGTCTGCAGCCACCTTCAATCTATCTAAACTTGTTTTACCTTGGGGACAGTCCACACCTTGTTTATACAGCAATGTGACTGTAAACCTAAAATAGTAAAATTTTAAAAATATGAGCTTTTTTCCATAATAAAAATTAGCACTGTTCATAGTTTGGGGATATTTTGTTATTTTTGTTTTATGCAGTGCTGGGGATAGAAAGTCTTAGGGTATTTTAAATGAATTTTTCCCCCTATCTGTTAAATAGCAACAAAAGTGTAGCTTTTCCCAATGTCTTTTCCTAAAGAGAATTCATATGTAAGCAATTAAAAAGGTTTTACAACTGTAATTAAATAAAATAAGTTTGGCATCTGTTTTACTTTTTTGCTCTATAAACAGTTCTTTCTTAAGCCCCAAAGCAAAGAAGTAAGAATGTATAGGCCTATTTTGGAGGGAATCCATGAGTAGTTTCTGGTTTTGAGTCTTGTCGGTAACTCAGTCCATTTTGGGGGGAGAATTCAGAGCAAAATGGACCTGTAATACTAGTAAGTTCTAGAAGCCTTTTGAAAATGTAACTTTTTAAAAAAGTAATAGTTGCTAACCAAAGGCCATTTCTGAGTTTTTAACACCAGGTGATTTTAAAACTTTTCACTAATATGTTAATCAAAACTTTTACTTGAGCCAAATGAGTGGGGGCTTTATTGAATGTCTTCTTAAAATTCTTCTAAATAGAATTTCTAGAAGTGACTGAAAGCAGTTTTAAAGGCTTGTTGCGGAAATACGACCAAGGCATGAAAATAAAAGGTGTGGAGGCAGTTAGAATGTTGAGTTAAAATCTGAGAAGTTAAATCTGATTGTGGGGATTCATCAAATACTGAGCACAAGGAATACAAGCTCTTGAAGGCAAGGAGGCTGTCCTGTCACTCAGATGTGTGTCTGTTCTTGTGCTTATTAGGTGGGGCAAAGGGAAGGGGGACTAGGAACAAATCAAGTGCATGAGCCTGATTATAGTTTGGGGACGATAGCATAAGAAGTTCTGCGGAACCGTCAGGAGAATGGCAGGCTTAAGCGGGATAAGTAACACATCTGCCATATTAAGGCAGCAGTATCCTGGTATTTTTCAGGGAGGCCTCCAGAGTGGTGAGAAATCGCATCAAGGGAACTAGTCTTTGCTTAGCGCTTCCTGCCACGTTGAGGACTTTCCTTATCTCATTTTATTTCGTGCTCGCATTAGGCCGGCAAGATTTGTCATGTTATTCCCATTTTATAGCTGAAGAAAATGGAGTTCTAAGAGGGCAAGCAGTTCACTCTCTTAGTTGCCTCCACCTGGGGATGGAATCAGAATTCGTTTCTCTCTCAGCACCAGACCTTTGCTCTCCCTACCCAAGCCTTGTCACAACCTTGGGACGAAAGGTCCTGTGCTTGGGTCTTGAAAAGATCTATGTTTGCTGTAGAGATTGCCTCCTTTTATTTAATAACTTATACTCTGCCTTGCTCTGGAAAAAGATATTAAGTTGTTATGGAGATTATAGAAGAAGGCTGGCCAGCGTCAGTGCTTACTGGACAGGGGCTGGACTCCTTCTGTGTCATGCCTCTGCTGACAGCTGTGGAGTCAGTGTTCCTGTACCTCAACAAAGGAATTCTAGTAGATGTTCAGAAGTGACAACGTGGTAGAGGCAGAAGGGAAATCAGTGGTTGCTTAGAGCTGGAGAAGAGAGATTCTGGAGTGATAGCCAAAATCTGTGAGGCTTCTCTCTGGGGGTTATGGAAATGTTCTAACATTGATTGTTCTGAGCCTGATCAAGGTGAATATACTAGAACTTATTAAACTGTACAGCTATTAAAAGGGAATAACAATGTACACAGGCAGATAACCCCGATCCTCAGTACGGAAGGGTAGGATTGTAACGAAATCTCACTCATCTTGAGGATGCACAGATGGCCAGAACTTGGCTTCAAGAAGCTGCTTGTTTCATTTCGAGGTGAGGGATGGGGGTCTTTCAGCCTAGGTGTTGGGAGGAAGGGGGCCTCTCCAGCCTTTGGCTTCCTGATGTGAGGGCCTTAGCTGTGCCATACCAGGAGGGTTGGGTTAAAAATCTGAGGAGGTGAGGGACAACGTGATGAGCGCGCTGTTGGGAACATGAGCAGTGCTGTGTTTTAGAGTGTGAGTTGCCATTCGGAAACCCTCAGAGCAGTGTTTCATAAGCATTCAGCCTTCTCGCTTTCCAGCTGTGTGTTGATACTGGCTGCTCCTTATTTTCTTTGTTTTAAAGTCAGGCTAGTTGTGGTTGTGGATATTTTTAGCCAACTAGACATCCCAGAAACCATCTGGTTTTCTTGGCAGTGGAAATTTTCAGCCAGTTTCTTTTCAGATAATTCTGCTTTCTCTTGTTTATGCCTTTATTATATGTTTGGAAGAGAGATCTTCCCTAGGCATTCTGGGTCTGATCTGTGGCAAAATAGAGTTAAATGTGAGATCAGCTGTGTTCAAAGGAGCATCAAATGCAGTTTTAAATCTTGGTGTCGGCTTGGTCACCCTGGAGAGAGGACCTTCCTCATATTTTATACATTGAAGACAATTGTCCATTCATCATAGGATTTTGTTGTGACTTCAGTATATTTGAAACACTTAGCACAGTGTTGGTGTCTAGTTTTTCTGCCAAATGCTAAATAATAGATTCCTGCTTAATGCTGAAATTTTCTTTCTGCTTTTAAGGAAGACAGAGGCATTCCTACATATTTCAGGGTAGGGATTTGGACCACACTCAACAGTGCTCTGGGCTCACTCCTGGCTCTGTGCTCAGGGATCACTCCTGGTGATGCTTAGAGGTCCATATGAGGTGCCAAGGATTGAAATGGGACCAGGTGAGTGCCAGGCAAGTGCTTCTACTCCTGCACAATATCTCCTGCCCCGCCTGTATATTTTAGGAGGGAAATTGAATATATTCACTGTATTCCAGGCACTGTGTTAGTTGGGGGATATAGAAATGGATGTGTACAGGAGTTGTGTTCCCTGGTTCTTTACCGGACCCTTTCACCCCAAAGAACACTGTCATCCTCACTGTTCTCAACCCTTCTCAGCATTTTGAAGCCTCTTGTCC